GGTCAGATGGGAGGGGGAGGAGGTCAGATGGGGGGAGGAGGTCAGATGGGAGGGGAGGAGGTCAGATGGGCCCCCTCCCCGAAGGGGATGTGAGGTCCTGGCTCCTTCCCACTTCCCTCTGATTCCAGCCCCCACAAGGTGCGCAGTTTGCTCTGCCATGAGTGTCATCGTGACGGAAACGTTTGAATCTAGGAGCCAAAGTCAATCCTTCTCTTTTTAAGCTGATTGTCACAGGGATTCTGTCACATCGACACCCCAGGCCCTCGGAATCCTGAGAAGGACAGGGTTTGAGATGGAGGGCTGGTGCTCCGCGACCCAGGGAGGGTGGTGTGGGGGCTGGGGGACAGCTGGGGGCAGTCTGGGGTGAGGGACCTGGGCACTGCAGCCACGGCGCACAGCTCCGTCTCCGCCCCGGACGGCTGGGCTTCCGTGGGAGCAGGCGGAGGCCGGCAGCCTCGGAGGAACAAAAAGTCACAACCACAACCACACACTGGCCTAGAGAGAGAGAAGAAGAGCTGTAGGACGGGGCAGAACGCAAACACCGAACCAGCTCTGGTAATCCCTCCGTACACCGGTAAGTCTGCCTCTGTTGAGACCCCTGGACAATGACCGGGGAGACACTGGGACCAAGCTGCTTACAGACCTGTAGCAGAGACAAGACACTGGCCACTGGGAGACTTAGGTTTGCAGCTTCCCAACAGGCTATGAGATCCTGATGCCAAACAAAATGCTGAACCCACCTGGGTCCAGGGCTATGCCCAATATCCTGGCTCTTTGGGAGGAGGACAATTCCAGGCAAGCCCTGGGGAAAAAAGTCCACAAGACCCCATCTCAACAGAACCTGGGCGTGGTGGCACACACAGCCATTCAGCTGTGCAGGCGGTGTAAACAGAAGGGCTGAAGTCCATCCCAGCCCAGGAAATAAACAAGAACTTATCTTGAGAAAAGACTAGAGCACCAAGGCAATGGCTCCAGTGGCAGAGCACCTGACCAGCAAGCACACAGCCATAAATGCAAACGTCCGGGGCTGAGCCCT